TGACTCTCCTTCTCTCTTTCCCTCCTCTAGTGCCCTCCTGCACAGCACACAGACTCCTCTTTGCTTTCATGCCATATATGTAGGCATTTGTGTATGTTGGACATTTTTACAGTATGTTTATAAAAATTACATGTTTATGTTTGGGTCTGTATGTGGGATTACATGAGCGAGTGCAGAGTCTGCAGAGGCCAGAGGCCTTGGATCCCTCTGGGACTGGGTCATAGCCTGTTGTGAGCCCCCTGATGTGTGTGCTGGGAACCTTCCTCAGTTCCATCAAGAGTGGCTGTGCTCTTAACTGCTGAGCCAACTCTCCAGCCCCAATACTGTAACCTTTTAATGTCAGTGTGTAGCATCTGTTTTCATTTTCATGTCATGAAATCACATAATTGTTATTGCATCAATCTTCCATTGATAGTAATATAGTTTTTTCCAGTTTGAGCTGTTGTGGCAACCACGTGAGTGACATTCTCCCAGTGTGTGAATCTGTGTATTGGCACGGGATGACAAGATTGGGGTCAATGCAGTCTGCCACACCTAGTTGGTCTTTCTGCTGTCAGAGGAGTTTAGCTCTACAAAGCCCATGGTTCTGTGTGGTCCAGAGAATTATCTACGATAGCCATGGTTTTGGTTTTGAATGACTACCTTAAGTACACAGCAATTCAAAGTAAAATAATAAACAGCAGGTAGGTGATAGGTGGATGGGTAGATGGATGGATGGATGGATGGATGGATGGATGGATGGATGCATGGATGGATGGATGGAGGGATGGAGGGATGGATGAGGGGGGTAGGTGGGTAAAAGCAAAACACCATCAAATTGGGCACACGACTCATCCAATACAAGCGGACTGGGAAGCCGCTGTAAGACAGCCATCTGGAGTTCCCAATCAGGGAGAGTCCCAAGCAGAGCAGAGAGCATCCTCTCAAGCAATACTCCCAGTTGAAAGAGTAGATATCTCTTTCATCTCTCTAACTCTCCACCCTTGACAGAGGGCGCCATATGAGGTTAGGGAGAGGGTGCCTGGACTGGCCATCTACTGTAATCAGATTGGTGATTACTCTGATTGTCATCAGAGAGCCTTTATCCAGTAACTGATGGAAGCAGATGCAGAGATCCACAGCCAAGCACTGGCCCAAGCTCCTGGAGTCCAGTTGAAGAGAGGGAGGAGGGATTGTA